CCCCAAAACCCCAAAACCCCAAAACCCCAAAACCCCTACTCTTTATCCAAACTTGAAAATTAAAAAATCCTAAACCTTACTTCTTCCGCCCTCTAAAGTACCTTGGCAAGGGCTCAAACTCCCACAACACAAGATCCTCATTCCTTCTACCAGTCTCATGCCAACTGCTACTCTTCTCTACACTCTGCACTATATCTTCCTTCTTCAGTCCTAGACTCGCTCTTTTACCATCCGTTTCCTCTACATATCTCATACAAGGCTTAGCCTTGTAGTCATGCCCTGTGGTAGAGATTTTGGCTGTAAAGTGAGGGGGTGAAGTACTGTGTGTAGTGGGAGCAGGATTTTTGGAGGAGAATTTTGAACGTTGAGAGGGAGGGTTTGATGGGTTGTTAGTGTCGATGAACAGCATCAAGCGCCTTTTGGATGCCTTAAGGCTAGCTTTCAGAGATCTCCCAAATTCAGGGTTGATAACAATGTCATCATCATCTCTGAAGCCATCAAACTTGTGTTCAGAAGAATTAACTCGACTTTGCTTTTGAGTAAATTCTCATTGACTCAAAGACCTTTCCTTAATATTGGAGAGATCATCACTTGAACCCTCAAGGTTCATCTTTCCAGCCTGAACTTGTGCTGTAGAGTTAGTTAAAATTGTTACTCTTCGATATATACTCAAAATTTCGTTTTCCTTTATTTAGATGATTATTTTTGACTTTAATACTATTTATATCAACTTCCACGACTCTCTCGTGACTAGGAGCTTTAAACTGGGACTCTCTCTTGATTTTCTTGGTCTTCTCATCAGATTTTTTATGGAAGTTTGGTGTATCCATCAGAACTGGCTCTTCCTTCTCTTTTCTTAATGAAATGATCTTCTTTGTTAATCTCTTGCTTTCATGATTATCACCAGGATTAGCCGTTTTTGGGTTATTTACGTTTTGAGATCCGACCCCAACATTATTTATTCCGAATATCTTTGGAATTCATGAGACTCCCATACATATCAAGGCAGCTACTGCTCCTTGAAAGGTAAAGCTCCTCACACTTGTCTCTTTCAAGGTCAGGAGACTCCATATGCTGTGTGCTATTTTGAGAAACCTTCTTGGGCGTCTGCATTTCAGGAGGATTATGACATTTGAAGTCGGTGAATTCTTCTCCTCGAATGACTTTACGCTTCTTTCTACTGCTTTTTCTAGAGTTTAGGGGTGATTTTTACTTTAGATTTTTGTCTTCAGTCCCTTGATCCTCCGGAATAACCTTCAAATTTTTGGTAATAGGCCCTAGATTCGGCCTGTGAGCTATCCGCAGGTTTGGTTTTGAACTAATCTTGCTCTTCTTAATAGTATTGAACCCGAAGTTCTTCCCATCAGGACTTGAAGAAAGCTTGTCTTTCATAAAAGGAGAAAGGCTCGCCTTTCTCTTCATGTTGTCTATTTGGAATCCATGCTGATTAGCTTGGCCTTTGGTTTCCCATTTCTCAAGTTCTTTTGTGATAGCTAAAACTTCGTTATTTTTCTTAGTAATTTCCTCTTTCAATTTCAAAAGTTCAAGCTGTGCTTGTCTGAGCTTGCTACTCTTGAAATTTTCAGGACTAACAGAGTTGGAGTGTATGTTATGGATAGAGCTTTGTGAATTGGTTGACAATTTTCTATACTTGCTATCCAATTTTTCCCGGGTTTTATCAGTAACTTGATTAAACCGAGGTAATCTGCAAGTTTAAACCAAATCTTACCGATATTCCTGTTGCTGATTGCTAGTAGCAGCTCTTTTCTGGTCTATTTTAGGCTTCTGACTCCTACTTTTCCCCAACTGATTCTTGGGATAGACTCAAATTTTATCCACTTTTGGTTCAAAATTATTTTGTTTTATCTTGTGTCTAATTTTTTCAAATTTTCCTGATCTCTTAGGAGTCTTTTAATCTTGGATTTTTCAAGATGCCTATATTTTAATCAATAAATATTTCAAAATTATAATTGGTAATTCTCACCTGCAAGGTTTGGTTTAAGGTTGAGATTTCCCATTTTTGGCGGATGCACAGAAGTCCCAGCCCTATTTTCAACAATATCACTCGGCTTGACCAAGCTAGCTCTTTCATTTGGCATACTTGACTCTGTCTTTCTTACAACTATTGGCATTTGCTGCTTCAACACCATTTTATTCTAAATTTTATGACGAAACACTTACTTCTATTCTGAGCTTTTGGCGGTGACTTTTCTTCGTTCCTGAGATCTTCTTCAATAATTTGGGAAGCTTTGGTATTAACTATTTGTGTTATATAAGTTGCTTACTTACACTTGCTCCAATTCTTCTGAGTATTCTTCTTATGGTATTTATTTTGTAGTTTTTCCAACTGCTTCCTCATGCCTTTGACAGTTCTACTTTCTTTAATAGGTTTTGCATCAGGGCTTCTGTTGCCAATGGCTTCTTTCCGACGTCCAGTTTTTACTAATTTTGGAGAGATTTTAGGCTGAAATCCGAACTGATTTGTCCGACGCTTCTTCTCAGAATGAACCTTGTCCAGATAATTTTGGGATGCAGTCCCAGCCTTTGCTTGGACTAAGGCTGCTCGTTTGAAGGTCTGAGTTGGGTTATGGTCCTTAAAATTCTTAGTCGTGCTTCTAAACTCTGAAAATACACAACTTACTCATTCTGGGAAGGTAAATTTGATTTCCTAGCAGACTCCATGTTCATATAATCAGACTCTGGTGAAAGGGAGCTTTTACCACGAGGCTCCTCTGTAGCAGTCTCTCTTTCAGAGATGATAGTAGCTTTGGGGTTTTGTTTGCTATTCTTTCTATTGCCAAAAGTTCCCAAGCTTCCAATGCTACTGAAATTCTGAAGCTTATTTATTAGTACTCGTTGTAGTTGCAATAGTACCTGAATTCACACTAGCTCTTTTGTTTTCAGAATTTCTATTAGAATCAGAGCTTCTTTCCTTGCTCTTGAAGAAAGTGGGAATGCTGGCCTGAGACTTTGTGTGAACCTTAGTGATCATCTTTGAAATAACCTTCTTCTTTTTGGGTAATCGATCCTGATTTGATTTAATTTTGGGGATTATTGAGGGTCTATTTTTGGTCCTACGTTGCTCCATAAGTGAAATTGTATTTTTTATATAAACTAGAGTTTCCTATAATTTAGACATGGAAAGGGGTTTTGGGGTTTTGGGGTTTTGGGG